ATTTTTTTAAAAAAAATTACAAATGAAATGAGAGCACTAGAGGAAAAAAACTGGAAAAGAAATGAGAGTGGTGGAAGAAATGGAAAAGGAATTAACAGCTTGGCACAAGAGGTACAAAATCTTGCCCAAACAACAAACTCTCTGAAAATTAGAACAGACAAAATAAAAGCTAGTGGCTTTATGAGACAACAAGAAACATTAAAACAAAATCAAAAGACTGAAAAATAGAAGAAAATGTAAATTGTCTCACAGCAAAAATGGTTAACCTGGAAAACACAATAAGGAGAGAAAATTTAAGAATCTTTAAGCTACCAGAAAACCCCCTAAAAATGCCCCAGACATCATATTTCAAGAAATCATAAAAGAAAACTGCTCAGACTTTTTAAAACTAGAGGGCAACATAGTAATGAAAAGCATGCAGCAGTCACCTCTTGAAAGAAACTCCAAATGAAAACTCCCAGGAACATTATAGCCAAAATCCAGAGCTTCAAGGTCAATGAGAAAATACTACAAGAAGCCAGAAAGAAAGAATTCAAGTAATGAGGAGCTATAATAATATCATACACAATATAGCAGCCATCATTCTAAGCTCTGAAATATTGTATTCCAAAGCTGGGAATATGATATTCTAGAAGGTAAATGACATAGGTTTACAACCAAAAATAACTTACCCAGAAAAACAGTATAATCCTATGAGTAGGGGGGTGGGAATGGAGTGGGATGGGGAAATGGATTTTTAATGAAATAGAAGACATCTAGGCAATCCTGATAAAAAATCAGAACTGCATAGACATCTTGATGTGCAAACACAGTAGTCATAAGAAACATAAAAAAGTAAACAATAGCAAACAATTGTAAGTGACTAAATGAAGCTAAACTATTTATATTCTAATATAGGGAGATGATATATGTGTCCCCTCAGAACCTTATGATCATCAGCCATAGAATGAGTCTTATTAAAGGACTAATTAAAGGACTAACCAAATTAAATGGTTCAGTTGTGTTTTGATGATCTTAAAAGAAGAATGGAAGCAGAAGAAAAGACAAATGTAAGGGGGAAAGGGAGAAAGGAAGGATAAGGAAAGTTATCTTACTATAATTGGAGTATACAAATAGAAGTTTATACAAACAAGGAGGGGTGGAAGAGTGGGTAACACCTGAACCTTGATCTCATCTGAACTAGTTGAAAAAAGGATACGTACATAACACACACACACACACACACACACACACACACACACACACACACACAATTGGGTAAAAAGATAAATTTCATTCAGCAGAGAAATGAGAAGAAAGGAGGAGGAAGGGAAGGGAGGTAGATTAAGGGAGGGATGCAATTCTAAGCAAAAATAAGCTCAAAATAAGAATGTACAAAAATACTTATAGCAGCTCTTTTTGTGGTAACAAAGAACTGGAAACTTGAGGGAGTGTCCATCAATTGGGAAATGGCTGAACAAATGCTAAATAAATATGATGTCATATTACTGTGCTGTAAGAAATGACAAAGGGAATGGTTTCAGAGTAACCTGGAAAGATGTGTATGATCTGATGCAGAGAGAAGTGAGCAGAACCAGGAGAATAATTTATACTATAACAACAATATTATAAAGACAAGGAACTTTGAAAGACTTAGGAATTCTGACCAGCCATGATTCCACAGGACTCATGATGAAACATGAAGCCCATCTCATGAGAGAGAAGTGATGGACTCAGTGCATACTGAGGCATAGTTTTTGAAGCTGATCAGTGTGGGAATTTGTTTTGTTTGACTACACATGTTTGTAACAGAGGTTTTGTTTGTCTATGTTTTTCAGTTGTGGCGAATGTAAAATAGAGAGAAGTTGGATTTTTTGTTGATTAAAAAAACAATATTTAATTTAAAAAATGTTCTCATGAAGGAGCTTTTATGGCCAGTCCAGGATTCTATACTGAGCACTGAGAGGACAGATAAAAGCAAAAAAAGAAAGAAAGAAAGAAAGAAAGAAAGAAAAAGACCATTCCTGGTCTCAATGAGCTCACATTTCTTTTTTTTTTTTGAGGCAATTGGGGTTAAGTGACTTGCTCAAGGTCACACAGCTAATAAGTGTCAAGTGTTTGGTCTGAGTCCACATTTGAACTCAGGTCTTCTGACTTCAGGTCCAGTGCTCTATCCACTGCACCACCCAGCTACCCCAGTGGGCTCACATTTTCTCTAACAGAGAAAAAAAAATACATAAAAGGAAGCTGAAAAGTGGAGAGGAGGGAATGGGGGGGGGGAAGTCCGGAGAGTCAGGAGTGGAGCCCAGAGAATATTGAAGGAGTGAATGAGGCCGGCCCAAGGGGTACTTTCCTTAAAATGAGGTTCTGCAACTGTGAATGATTTACCTATTCTCAGCAATACAATGATCTAAGACAATTCTAAAGAAACTCATAATGAAAAATGCTATCCACCTCCAGAGAAAGAAATGATGTCATCTGAATAGAGACCAAAGCATACTACTTTTCTCTTCCTTCCTTTCTTCCTCCCTCCTTACCTCCCTCTTCCCTCTTTTCTTCCTTCCTTCCTTCCTTTCTTTCTTCCTTTTTTTTTCTTTAGTTTTCTTTCACAAAATGACTGACATGGAAATGTTTTGCATTATTGCACATGTATAACCTATATCAGATTGCTTACCATCTCAGGGACAGGGGAGGGAAGACAGGGGAGGGAGGGAGGGATAGAATTTGGAACTCAAAACTTCAAAAAAAATAACAAATGTTAAAAATTGTTTTTACATGTAATTGGCAGGACATAAAATATTTTTAATGAAGGTTCTGGGAAGAATTGACCAATCAGGGGCAGCTAGGTGGCACAGTGAATAGAGCACCAGACCTGAATTCAGGAGGACCTGAGTTCAAATGTGGCCTCAGACACATAATAACACTTACTAGCTGTGTGACCCTGGGCAAGTCACTTAATCCCATTGCCTAGCCAAAAATAAATAAATAAATAAACAGTATGGTGACCATCAAGTTCATCCCACCTTTCTAAATGGTACAATGGCTAGCAAATGGGAGACATGTTTGGAAGTTCTGTTCTACGTGAACTCATTAAGAAGGCTACCTCAGAGCAATCCCTTTTAGCTTACTGACTCCCTGCTCTCCCTGCAACTGGATTTTGGGCCCTCTCTTTTGGATGACTTAGTCATATAGGACTGCAGGCATGTTTTCAATGGAACCAACAAGCAGAAATGAGCCCCAGTTGAAGGAAATGTACAAAGAGCTTCACTAGTTATACTTGCAGTTATGTAACAGGTTTTCTAAAATAATGTTCTAGAAAATACTTTTTTTTATAGACAGATTCTATAGAGTGATGAGTGGAACTCAAAGAAGAAGGAAGCAGAGGGAACTGTGTTACCTTAAGGGGTTTATCACAGTTCTTCCTTGTTGTAGATTTTCAAGTGTTATCTGGATGAGATCATGCTGGGGAGGTTGTAGAAGGAATTCAGGTGTGAGTTGGACTCTCTAAGATCTCTTTGAACTATAATATTCCACCCTAAATATTTGCCTCCTCATGTTCACAGTATCATTGGGTAAGTAGGGGAATTGATTTTTTATGACAATTTGCTTATTTTTTTTCCCTCTATAGAATGCAAAGATGACCTAACAACAGAAAATCCTTAGATCTGGACTCTTCCTCGAATAAAAAGGAACTTCCCTCATTTACCACTCTGCTGCATTTATCTTGCATTTCCTTGACTTCTCTACCATGCCCCCAGGAACCCTATCATTGGGAAATCTCATCATCCTGAACGATCCAATCTGCCTTGGTACTCAGCCCTCGTCAGTGCCCTCTGCCCATCAAATTGGAAGACAGAGCTATGAATGCCTCCACCTTCACTAAACCAGGAGGCACAGGAGAGACACCTCCTCATTTCCCACACAGATACACTCTTTGGATTTCTTTGACTTCTCTACCATGCCCCTATGCTGGGTACTTTCCCCACTTTTTTCAACTTTCTTTTGTAAGTTGTCTTCTCCCATTAGATCATCAACTCCTTGAGGGCAAGAACTGTCTTTTTCATATTTCTTTCCTCATCACTGCACTAAAGCATAATGCCTGCATATAGCAAGCATTTAACAAATGTTTATTGACTAAAACCTCACTAAGAAATGGAGTTTAGAATCAGAAGGCCATAGATAGAAGGCCAAGAAAAAACCAGGTCATTCCTCCAGAATCATTCTGATCTCTCAATATGAGTATCTATATTTTGAAGTGGCCTATTTTTGAGGAGAGAAGGAAGAATAACAGTGATCTACAAACTTGCCAAACTTCTTCAATTTATCTGAATGAACTTCTCTGTTGCAAAGACTTTGGCTGTTTGACTTAAATATTCTACAGGAACCTGCATGAAAATTCATGGGAGAAAAAAAAATTATTTCCTGATATCCACTTGGGTCCTGAAAAGTGCTGACCTGGCAAGCTCAAAAGCTTATTAGCACAACCTTACAGTAAGTCAATCTTTTGTTTTTCACTTGAGTTTGAACTAAATTTGGAGGCACAGACCACAGCAATTGAAAATAGAAAATAAAAGACCAAGTATGGGTGTTTTATAAGTAAATACTGGGAAAGGCTCAAGGAAACTATTACTTTAGGACCAAAAAAAGAAGTCATGCTAAGCATTTATCTAATTATATTATGCCTGAAATGCCATAATGTCATTGTGTCTTGAACTCTAGCGTTTTCAAAGTATCTGTGCACTGAATCATAGAAAAAAGTATCTAGAGGAATATAAACTCCTTGAGGGCAGGAAACACTTATTTATGACTTTTTATATCCTCAGCACTTAGTCCAGTACCTCGCACATAGTAGACAGATAGAGCTTGATGACTGCTTATAGAAATGCCTAGTAAAGCTTTTAACTTCCTCGTCATAAATCTCTCACTAATGCAGTCTGCCTTCAATAGCTGCAGAGAACTTTGCAAGGGACGCTGTTGCATAAAAGAATAGAACCTAGCTGAATGGGCATCCGTTGCCTTACCACGCTCTCCTGGAGGGGGCTGGCATGCAGTATCCAGGGCACCCTTGTTGCAGTCAGTTCTCTGACATTCTTCTCTCAGACCTTCTGGAGGTTACTCCCTGAGCTGCCAAATCAAAAAAAAATCTTCAGGCACTATTTATTCAACTTGCCATAGCATTTTTTTCTTTCACAAAGAAGTTCAGTGTGCTTATTCCCCCAAGACTAGAGGCCGATGGAGTCACTGTACTGTTTCCCCTCTCTTCCCCCAACCCTCCCCACCAGTTCTTAAGGTCAAGTGTTATATTGATGTCAAAAATCCAGGGGGGAAGCAACAGGACACAGGAAACAGATACTGGAGATCCAGAGGTAAAACAGGAAGAGTAAATGAAGCCTCCAGGACTGAATGTGCAACAGACAAACTCAGCAGGTATTGAAAAGAAAGAAAGAAAGAAAACACACATCTAGCCCCTCTGACAGAGCCACATTGGAATTCCTGGGAAGCAGCAATTGCTCAGCAATGGTTTTGTCACTATTCTCTTTTCAAAAAAGAGCCAAGCATTCAACTTTGAGCCCGGTGTCGGTGACCCCTGAGCCGCCAGATTGTTTTTCTACACAGGTGTCATTGCATGTTTGCACGCCTGGTGTGCTCCCAGATGTTCAGATTTGGCTCAGGAACCAGTTCCTCTCCCTCCACAGTGACTTCCGTTTTGATTCAGACTTTCAAGTCGCGCCCCATATCCATCTCCCCTGGTGTAACCTCCTTGTTTGTTGTTTTCCATTTCAGTAGCAAGATTCTTGGCCAGGAGAAGCACCCAAGAGGTGCCAATGAAAACAGTATGGTTTGAGTGACCTACTTCTCTCCCTCTCTCTTCCTTTTCCAGCTTGAAGCCAGCAAAGAAAGGGTTGGCTATTTTCCACTGGTCCACCTTTGGCAATGATATCTGAAATGTAGATCCTGATAGAGATACCATGTCAAGTATCATGTCCTAAGGCAGAGGACATCTTCTTTTAAACTACATGTGCTAGTTGCCTCATCTTGCTTTCTTTTCCACTGCTTTTTCCAGCTGGTATAGTACCTTACCCTCTCTGTTCATCCATACTAAAAAATGTTTCTGATTTGGCAGGTTTGCAGGGGTGGGGGGAGGGGTAAAGCATTGTGTTTAGAGTTGGGGGAAAATGGGTTTGAATCTCAACTCGGGCACTTGACAGACTTTGCACAAGTCAATTCATATCTCTAGGCCTCAGTTTTCTTATCTACAAAATAGCGCATTGGCCCAGATAGTTTCTGAGGTCCCTAAATCTGAGGCTCTAAATCTGTGATACTATGATTCTATGATTTTACAGGATCCCCAGATTCCGTGAAATAACTGTGATATGGAGAATATAAAAAATCAGAGGACTTGAGCTCAGATCCAAGCCCTCATACTTGCTAGATGTGTGATCTTGAGCAAATCTTTTTATCTCTTTAGTCTTCAAATTTTTCTTTGATGTCCTTTCCAGCTCTAAAACCTTAGGAAAAAGTAAATCCTTCAAATGACCTTGATACACTGGGTCAAGCCATCTTCCTGAGTTCAAATCCAGCCCAGACACTACTAGCTGTGTGTCCTTGGGCAAGTCACTTCACCCTGTTTGCCTCAGTTTCCTCATCTGTAAAATGAGCTGGAGAAGGAAATGGCAAATAATTCCAGTATCTTTGCCAAGAAAACCACATATGGGATCACAAAGAGCTGCACACTATGGAAAAGACTGAACAACAACAAAAAACTGATTGCTGATAGATTGAACAAAACTTCAGCTAAGTGAAATAAAATAAACATCTAAACAGTATACAAACACAATGTCCTGAAGCCGACAGAAGGCCTTTACATGCATGGAATGTGGAAAGGGCTGCTGGCTAGAGTTACTATGTTAACACTCAACTCCCATGGATAAACCCATGGTAACAATGTCGCCTTCAGAGCCAAAATCTAATAATCCACAGCAATAACTAAATCTCCAGCTAGGATCAGAAAGAGAACCCTTGTATCTGATGATTCATGGTATACCCTGACAGTAGAACATACCCTCTGGACAGAAGATTCAAGGCCAAAAACAGTCTTGCAAATGATGTCTAAAGCATCAGAACAAGTTCTACTACACTGGTCTGGAGCTGCCTGGGTTTGAAGTGAATCCAGAGAAATTTGCCTTGGCTCCTCATACCTTCATTGTAATTACACCGCTGGCACTTTTAGTGTTTGTGAATTACAGATGGTTTAAGAATAAGTTCTTGCTATTTGTCCTTCGCCTACAGTGAGTCCCAGATGTGCCTTGTCAAAAGAAAGATTTACGGAAAGGGAAATTATAGACTTAGACTCAAGGGAAGGATCTAAAAGCTTTATTTGGACTAATTTAAGGATCACATCATACACAGCCTTGGAAAGAGTCTTTCTTTAATCCTGTGACCAGGGATTGACGGTCACACCATCTCGATAAATGTCAGGATGCATGTCTTCTAAGTGGTACCCATATGACAAGTGTTAAGGGTAAGTAATGGCACCAACTGGGAGTGGCCTTAACCAACCCAACTGAGTTCTCTCAGCTTCACCAAGGCTGTCCTCCAAAGAAGGAGAACAAGCTAGAATTGTAGTTCTCTCTTTATATATACTCTAGTCCAAATAACAAGATGGAATCATTCCACTTAGTTATAATTTTCCCTCCTTGGGAAAAGGAAGGGAATAAAAATTTCTATACTGCCTGCTTACTTGCCAGGCATTGTGCTAAGTGCTTTACGAATATTATCTCATTTGATCCTCACAACAGTTATGGGAGGTAAGTGCTCTTATTATTCCCACTTTACAGTTGAGGAAACTGAGACAAGTAGAGGGTAAGTGACTTGTTCAGGGTCAAGGCACTTGAATTCAGATCTTCCTGACATGAGGCCCAGTGCTCTTTGTGGGGTTAAGGTCTGTGAGCTAATTCCTTTTCAGATAGAGAAAAGGTCATCATTGTCTCTCCACTGCTAATTAAGAAAAGAAAAAATGCTGTCACCTGTTCTAGTTGACCACATTTTCCCTCTTTCCCTCTGTACTAAAAATAAATGTTCTACTGTCAAGTCATTAAGTACCTATTATGTACCAGGCATTCACAGAGGTTCCCAAAGTGGGTGATACTGCCCCCTCGGGGGCCCTGGAACAATCCAGGGGGCAGTAGTAGCCTCTGGGTGTAATTGGGGGGGCGTCAAATAAAAATAAGGTGGTGGTAGAAGCACAAGGAAAGAAGAGGAAAAAATTTTGAAAAACCATTCATACATGTTTCATCTGTTATGTAACAGAGTTAAAGTCATAGTGATTACATTATTTTCCATATAGACACACAAAATGCAAGTTATAACTAACCAGTGGTCAAGTCCACTGACAGGTCTTAACAAGCAAGTGTTGGCAGGTGAGCATATCGTGCATGGTTAGGAAGTCCAGCATGCATTGGCAAGAATATGTGCATATAATTACTTTTTTACAATATGATACTATACAGTTACATGACATAATACTGTGTTATCAAAATTTCAATGCAGGGAAAAAGACCCCACAAATTTACAATAAATTATTAAATTTAAAATGTGTCACTTTAAAAAAAAAATTTATATATTTTTTTGAAATGATACAAATTTTAAAACTTTGTTAAAATATTAAAGATTTCCAGGTGGCCGCTAAGTAAATTTTTTTTAAAAGGGGGTAGCAGGTCAAATAAGTTTGGGAACCTCTGGGCTAGAGAAACAAAGAAAGGGAAAAAAAGTCCCTGCTCCCCAGGAGTTTACAATCTAATGGAAGGCCAACACCCAAACAACTATGCATAAACAAGACAGAGGTTTACAGGATAAACTGGAAATCATCTCACAGGGAAGGCTCTATGATTAGGGAGCACCAGGAAAGTTTTCTTGTGTGTGGAAGCTGGGTGCTGGGTATCCTGGCAGAGTCTTCTATTCTGCATCTGTCTCTGAAGGTCTACAGCAGCCTGTGTTGCCCTAATTGCCTTGGCGGCTGCACCTGACCTCCAGTGGCATCTTCCATCTTTATATAACCTGCCCTTGAATCACAGCTGTACCAAGCAGAAGAGCTCTGAGGGCTTTAACCAAGTGGAGTCATTGACCTTGTCTCTTCACTCTTCTACCTCATTATATTGAGACGCCCCACTGAGCTCATCTGCTTTCTTTTATCCAGCCCTTGGCATACCCGGTGCTGTTCTGTTTTTCTACTCTTCAACCTGCTTTTATAGGGAAACCCTACTTAGGTCTGCTTTTCATTGGTTCCTATAGGACAGATAAAAATGTTAGTTCTGGTGACTGGATATTGCCACCTTTGCCACTTGCTAGCTATGTCACCTTGGACAATTCATTTGATGTCTCTGAGCCTAGGTTTCTTCATATAGAACACTGAAATACTACCTGCCCTGCCTACCCCCATGGGGTTGTTGCAAAGATCAAAAGAAAAAATGAGAGAGAGAGAGAGAGAGAGATTGATGTGTATAGATATCTTTGCAACAGAGTTGTTGCAAAAATCAAAAGAAGACATGAGATATCACTCTCTTTAGATATCTACATTAATGATATATACACATATATACATTATACATATCTATATATATATATATATATATACATCTATTATGTCTATATAATGATGTCTACAGACACTAATATCAATCTCTATCTACATGAAAGTGCTTTGAAAGATAGAAAGCTGTATATAAAGGTAAGGGATTCTATAATATTAATATCCCAAGCTCTTTTTTCTTCCTAAATCACCACTTTTCTTTCTATCACATGCCATCATATCCTCCTATCCTCAATGATACGATGATTATGAGGTCATCCATTGTTCTTTCCTCCCCAGGTCTCATTCTATTCTTGTCTCCTCATACCTCCAGCCTCTGCCTCAAAGATGCTTCCAGAAACTGGCCTTTATTGAGCATTTGGTTAACTGTTACGGGTTAATACCAGACAGACAAGATGGTAAGATTGTCTTTTGGAAAGAACGCTGACTTTGGAGTCAGAGCACCAAGGCTCAGGTCCTGGCCCAGCCACTTACTGGCTGTGTACTCTTATACAAGTTGCTGCTGTTTCCTTATCTGTAAAATGAGAT